GCATATCGCGATATGACATACCCTGACATAATATGCTGACCCCATGTTCTGATACAAAGTCCATATATCGCGACACTTCCTATCTGGGTATTTCATGTCCTGATATGAGACCTTTGTTGCGACAGCTGTGCCAGGGTGGATGGAAGCAAGGTGCCAGTCGTGATATACACTGCCGCGATATACATGGGGTCCCTATCATGACATGCTGCGGAGGTCTTGTCACGATGGTATCCCACAGTAATGCGTCTGGCAACAGCCTGTCACGGTAGGGAAAGGAAAAGGAAAACGTGCACTAGAAAGTAAAAACCATAGATCTTACAATCACAGTGGTTTTACATACATTACAACCACAGGCTTATGTCATAGATGGTTAACTTGTTGGCATGCGTGCTCATGTCATAGTATTATTCAGATCTAAGGAGGCTAATATGTTTTTGGAGATTGATTGTCTTTAAAATGTTAAGGATACGAGCTAAACTGTAACAGCGCTTGAACTCGGCAGACGGGGGTCACTGGAGGTCAAAGTCACCGTGCATGGTCACGTGATCACGACTGTGACGTCACGACCCCGAAAATACAAGGCAGAAATACAAATTTCAGAAACGGAAGCAGCACAAAAGCTACTTTCAGCGGCACAAACGTAGCACTAACGAATGAGGTGGGTTTCATTGTTTGTGTTGGCTGTAGGAGGGACAACTTCACGGAGCTTTTACTTTGCCTTTAAATATTCAGCGGACTTGAGCATGACATACCAGAAGAACGTGCACTCAAGTATGGGTTTCAGAGGCTGGAGTAAATGCATCGCCCCAAGGGTAATATCGAGTGAGGCGCCATGAGAATAAAAACTGCGAAGGTATTAAAATATTAAGTTCTGAAGATCTTGTTTGATCCTTCATGATGCTTTTAAACTTGAATGAATCCCACGAAATTAGTTGAATATTTTCGATGCTAAAAGACACCCGATTTGGAAATTCCTGACTTAACACTGAATTGTTATAATCGCATTACAGTGCTAACCAATTCATCTTACCTTTAATTGCCAGAATGGTCTGCTAATAAACACGCCAAATACATACTTTGGATGTATTTGCTCTGTAAACGCCGTTCACTTTAAAATACTGCAGGGCATTTAGAGGGAATCTGAATAGTTATCTGTAAAATGCACACTCGAATCTAACCGTCAATATTATCTTATTGTTATTCATGCATTCCAAAACTTGTAATTTCTTTACAGGAGTAATTTTAGAACCTCTTCGTGCTGAACTCCTACAGGTCGAGCATGTATTGAGCTGCTACAAGCAAAGGCGTGCACCTCCCCTTGCGTTCCAAAACTTGTATTCGGGAAGCCAGGTTGTACTCCTTAAAACCCAAGATGTCTGTAGCATCTCATGTGTCTTTATTTGTTTCGGGACTGGTCTGCTCTTCTACAGGCGGCTTTTTGAAAAACGCAAATATATGCATTTGTTTTGCCATGTTGGCTAATCAACCAAAAACCTAGCGCTAGTTAGCTCTGAGAGTCTGACGACAACGATAGCCAATTAGGCTACGGCTACGCGTGCACCGCCCCACTACATTTACATATTTTTCTTATTGGTCACAAAAGATACAGCGAGCCAATAGCAAATCACAAACGATGATTAAAACGATCAAATTAAAAATCATGTAACGAAAACAAGAGAAAAAAATCTTAAAATCCGTCCCTGAACTGCCGTATAGCATAACCTGTAGAATCCAAAATAAAATAATATAAATCCGTGAGTTTTTTGCAGTAGTTTCTGAATAAGTTTAGATTTTTAAGTTGTTTTACAATGCGTGCACAACAAAGTTGTTGACAAAATAAATATTACCAATCAAAGGAATTATAGCAACCACGCGCCGGCAGATGGGGCTGCTGCACAGTGACAGCCTGAGTGACACCCGTATTTGCATAAAACAACAAAAAAGTTTGATAGAATATTCCGATTGCCCCGTTAGCGATGTCGCGTGTGCTAGTTCTGTGTTAAGTGTTGATCTAATTGTATGCACTGTTTATGCGGAGCTCTTACAGAGTATAGAAGGGTATTTGGAAAATGATTGGAGCTGTCTCACGGGAGACATCGCTTTGCCAGCTCGACGCCGGAGTTCAGTTTTACTCAGAGAAGATTAATAACATTGCAGAAACGGATCTTGAGCAAATGCTCATTTGCTTCATTTCTCTGGTCTTACGCAGGGTCCAATAAACGTTACGACATTATACATGGTTTCCAAAGAAAACAATATTTAATTACTAAAAACTTTGATCTGCACAGAAGGTTTTACGGAGATTTTATTGGGTATTGAGTTTCTTCAACTAACTTGTCCTTCAGAACGAAGTCGGACCATTTATCCTTCTCAGGTGGCTCAGGTGGCATCTGACAATATCCCGTTAATGCTGACAATTCAGCATTTCAATCATTAGAGAATGATAGTAGACTAAATCTATTCCGTACTGAAGTACACTTTTCTAGGTGACGATATCAGAAATAAAATAACCTTCTGCCTTTTCGTACAGAGCCTATCATCACCCCCAGCTCGGGAATCCATTAAGAATCGGACAGCTGTCAGCAGAATTCAGTGATATCTGTGATGTGAGAAAAAAAAAGGCTGCAAATGAGACGCCCTAAGAAAGAAACTACCGCCTCAGGTGGTGACTCATCTATAGTCCGCTGAAAAAGTTAATTATTTCCCTGGCGTGCTTATTACAACGGTAAAGATGTTTTTTTTTTCCTTCTGGCCAACGAAGCCAGAGCCAGAACCTCGATAAGTTGCATTGGTGTTGAGTCTGGCACGATGGATGCAATTAACTATCAGCTCCACAAGTTGGTAGAGTCTTTCGTCACAGTTGTCAGATCAGCACCAAGAGTGCAGACAGCTCCTCAACCCCAGCTCTAGGCACTGAAGATAAAGCAGATTCAGACACCTCTACTTGACTAGCAGGTAGATGTTTTGTTTTTATTATTTGAACTTCATAAAACTGTTAAAGGCTCTTTATAAAAATGGTTTGTTTCAAAAGTAAAATGCCTTTCGGATTCGAACATTTAAATTTATACCGTGCGGCAGTCTGCAAGTGGCTGTGAGACTCGACGAATCAAAAGACAATTGAGAGCATCTTGAAGGTAAAACTTTCCCCTTGTTTTTCTATATGCTTGCATGCATTTCAAGCGCGGTAGATTTTAAAGATCTGATCGGTTCCACTTAAGTTTTATGCAAAGAATATGTTAGTCGAACCCGAATGCAAGAATAATGGAGAATTCTAGAATATAATCCAGCGTTTAATTCTAATTCATAACTAGGTGCTTCGAATACTCGTTTCAATTCCAATCGTTGACAACTATTGAGCCGTCTATTGCCCTTATTAATAAGGACCGTCTGAGTTGTGCCATTAGGTTTTAAGGCGTTGAATTAGTTTGCTAATCAACTGAGGCTTTGATGTTTTGCTGAATTGATCAATTTAATAGAGAAAATGGTTTTAACGAGTCGCAGATGTATGATACTTCCATTTTGTCTGCATAAATTAAAGTGTGATCGGTATTTTACCCATAAAAGCTAATGATAAAACAACAGTTCTTCTGGTATTAAAGTCAGAGAAGCAGAAGAAACACATAATAATCAGGGGGAAAAATCTATGCTAAATAATAACTACGACGAGTATGGTAAAAGCTTGCATTCAGTAAAGCACATTTCCTATCCCAGAATCGTGAAAATATGGTGCTCAGAAGAAACACATGTGTTCATTCTAGGAACGTATGTAAAACTTGGGAAAACAGGTGGGTTAAAATTTTGTCTTGTGCTTGTCTTCCAACAACATGCTCACTTATGCTGAGGACAGTGCGTCTCACAGAATAATAATAAAAATTGTCTTTTTTTATCACCAACACAGATACAGACAGTCCCATCTTCCAGAGTCTTGATGTCAGAGTCATTTTTCATAGTTAATCATTAATTCCTGTATACTGGACCAGATAATAGCCCACAGTATGACAAATAGACCACTTATTGAAAGTAAGGTTTTTATTTTAATTAGTAAGGACATTCAGTCAAACATTCTGCACTAGACAATGTAACACAAATGTCTAAAGAAAACGACCATCTTCACACAGGATTGTTACAGCACAATTTTATTAATCTAGCTTTGAATTTAAAGTGTGCTGTGATGATGTTAAAAGGTAGCTGCTACTGTAACCAAAATAGTCTACATTACTTCAAGTAAACAATGAACTAAAAACAATTGTGCTGATGTACCATTTAAAATCAGAAAGTGCCTGTAAGAAATATTTTTCTGCAAATTAAAAATCTACATTATGTAGAAGTTTAAATCTAATTTTATTATAGAATCATAAATAATGTTTTTATGAGGTGCTTTTTATGGCATCTTCAGAATAATACTGCATCATATCAAAGTGCTCTAGTCTTATCTGAGCTAAAAGCCTAGCACTATACATGTATATTGTAATTCCAAGGTGTTCTACTGAACTATTGTTCAGGCACATCCTCTGAGAAAAAGTTTATAATGAAAACCTAAATTATGCAGCTTCCAGGATAAGAAAAACTCTTTCTTGATTTTGAGATTTCTTATACCCTAGTAAGTCAAAGATATGAAAGCAATGACCCTGTGAATTAAAATACTTTCACAAAGAACAGAAATGAAAGAACACCTATAATAAATGAAATGTATACATCTTCACCATGGACAGGAAATCAAACATCTCCAGAGCAATGCTGATTACATTAAATGAAGATGCAACAAGATAAACACACACGTAAGCATCGGTGGATTAATAAGTCTCCCTCAGTAGTAAAACTTATAAAATTGAGAAAATACAAACAGCACATTTCTCCTTTGAATATATACCTTTTTAATGAAGGTATACTGTTGTGTTACATAATAATATTCACTCCAGTTTCTGGAGAGGTGCCGTGTCTTCTTGTTTCCGTTGAAACTTGGATTGACTTGATTTGCGTCAATTGTTCAAGTATTCTATATTACCACTGCTTCTCACTAATGATTAGACACTACCTATAAATCCTAGGGGACTGTGACTCTCCAGTGCCAGGAGAGAATATCACCAATTTATGTGTTTATTTGTATGCCATGTTTGACGTACAGATTTCAAAGTGTTTAAAATAAATCAAATACACTTCATTAAAACTTAATGTTACACAGTTAAATCAATAGAACAAAATACATTCAGGTTATAGTAGGAACTTATTTACTGTGATTCCTTAAAACACACTTTAATAAGACTTGGATCATTAGACTACTGGTAATCGAGTTAACAAGATGGGCCTTCTCTCTTTTTAATCCTCGTATTGTAACAGGCTCACAGTGCTACATTCTTATGGATACAGGATAAAAATATTCGGCACACCCAGAAGCCAAGTGCCATAACAGGAGTCTTTTCTAGGTGAGAGACAAGCTGAATAAATTAAATCATAAATCAAAAATAAAGCAGTAGTCCTTCTTTTACAGTGTGAGAAAACTTACAAAACCCTGCTTTTCTCTAGATACACTTCTTTGAGTGTCCCTCTCTGTAAACAGCCAGGCACCAAGGCTGCTGACCAGTTCCAAAAGACAAAGTCTATCTCCAAAGAGTCTTTTAAAAGATTCTTCTAGAATGAACTCATACTTCAATAATTTGC